GAAGCCGTGTTCCGCGTGGAGTCCGCACTGCGTCGCTGTGGTCTCCTTCCCTAGAGCTGTGCGCTTTGTGAGGGCCCCCAGCAGGCTGGCCCAGTCCAGCTGCTGAGGAGTGGCTTGGGGTCAGTGTGAGCGATGGAGATGGGTGCACACCCCTCGTAAGGAGGAGAGAAATCCTCTGTGAAATGCTGGCCGCTGCTTCCACCCACAAGGTAGAAAACGTCAACTGTCAGTGACTTAGGAGTAAAAATTCTGCTCTGGTTGATAAGAGGAATTTGAGACTCCTGCGTAAGCTAAGTTCTTAGTGTTTGTGTGATAAAAATTGTTTCCTTTTATGAGAAAACTATATTTTACAGAAACATATTTATTGTTGTTTAAAAAAAAAAAGGAGATTCAGGGGCTGGTGTTGTGGCATAAGGGTTAGGCCGCCACCTGCGATGCTGGCATCTGATATGGGCACTGGTTCCAGTCCCAGCTGCTATACTTCCAATCCAACTCCCTGCTAATGTGCCTGGGAAAGCAGCTCTGGCCTTCTGGCTTCAGCCTGGCCCAGCCTGGCCTTTGTGGCCATTTGGGGAGTGAACCAGCAGATAGAAAATCTCACTCTCTGTCTCTGTAACTGTGTCTTTGAAATAGATAAAATAACTTTTTTAAAGGAGATTCAGGTAGTAACTCTTCATTTTGTTGTTTTGTTTTCTTTTTTAAAGGAGATTCAGGTGGTGGGTTTTGCACAGTGGTTGTCATTGCTTGGGATTTTCACATCCCATGTCAGGGTGCCTGGTTTGACTCCTGGCTACGATGCTTCCAATCCAGCTACCTGATAATGCACACCCTGGGAGGCAATAGGTGATGACTCAAGTACTTGGGTCCCTGCCACCCATGTGAGGAACTCTAACTGATTTCCTGGATCATAACTCCAGCCTGGTCCAGCCGTAACTTTTGCAGGTCTCTGGGGAGTGAACCAGCAGGTGGAAGATCTCTGTCTATCTGTCTATGTCTCTCTTTGTCTGTCATTCAAATAAAATGAAAAATAAATAGTAATAATAAAGGAAGTTCATTACCCTGGGGTTCATGTTGACACAGAGAACTTGAAGGTGAACCTAGTATTTCGCCCAAATCATATCACTGTTGGGAATTCTGATGGGTCCAAAAATGGTATTACTCAGTTACTGAATTACTGAATTACCTCCAGCCCCTTCTGGAATAGCAAGGAATGTAGTGAGCCAAACTCACAGATGACTCATCATCCCTAGACAAGCTCTGCGCTTCATTGCTGTTGGCAGGTGTCGGCCCCGGGTTGTGGTCAAGCTCTGTGTTACAGTTTTGCTGCTTACTTGTGGAACACCTGACACCGCAGAGGTGAGAGTTTGCCGAGTCCACGCCACCCTCAGGAGACAGCGCAGTGAGAGCTCAGTTTGGACTCAGAACCCGGTTACTTCTCAGCCTTCATCGCGGCTCTGACTTGACGATTTGTCCCCCTGAAACTCCTGGGTTGAAATCCTAACCTCATGGCGATGACTGGGAAGTAGGGGTACTGGGAGGTGATTAGGCCATGAGGTTGAGCCCTCGTGACTGCAACCAGTGCCCTTATAAGAGACTCCAGAGAGTGATCTTGTCCCTTCCTCCTTGGGAGAATGCCGAGAGAAGGCAGTCGTCTGTGACCAGGAAGCAGGTCCTCACCGACACTGGTTCCACTGGTGCCTGGATTTGGGACTGAAACACGTATCTGTTGTTTGTTAGCTGCACAGGTTAAGCCAAAGGTAATGAGCCAAGACAGATAACTGGTCCTGCGGTGGGACCCTGCCTTAACCAATACCCAAGATGGGAAAGCAATATGCAGCCTGGGTACTGGGTGGAGGCTCAGTAGGTTCTCAGGTGAGTGCTGGGAAAAGCCTCCGTTGCTCTGTGTGGATGGTGAAGGGTGATCATGGCGGAAGCCCAGCTAGAAGGGAAGAGCCTGGAGCTTGGTGAGTGCTTGAGTAACAGCAAGCAGGTCGTAGATCTGAGGACAGCAAAGTGCATTCAGAGAAGTCACCGACAGTTCGCTGGGCCGTGGAGGAAAGGCCACCACTGTTCCAGTGGCAGAGGCTCTGACCACTCTCTGCTCGTGTCCCAGTATTGTGCTGGGTGTAGAGCTTGTGAGTCATGACTTTGGACGTTTGGCTGAGAAGATCTCCAAGCAAAGCCGTGAGTTGCAGCTTGGCTTAACTTGACTGTTTATGATAGAATATGAAAACAAAGAAATGACTTAACGGTAGAATTGTTAGTCAAAGGGGAATTAGAATTTAAAAACTTAGAATATGCTCATGCTATCCATATTTGAAAAAGGGAGAAGGCTCACTCAGAGAGAACCTAAAGTGTGTGGCTAAATTCGGTAAGATCGAGTTGGATCAGCCGCTGCAGTCAAATCTGTGGCCTGTTCATCAAGGCGGAGGAGGGATTAGACAGCCATCTAAATCCACAAGCCATGACCTGTTGCCCAGGACAATGGAAAAAAGACCCCTACACTGTTTCAGAGATCATCAGAGCTCGCCTCACAGGCCCAGAACTGCAAGGACCAAGTGCGGGAAAAGGCCCCAGCTGCCTGCTGCCACCTCCTCTTATGGGTCTACCCTCTCTGCTCTAGGGTGGTGCTCCTCTGCTAACCCAGGTGTGGCTTCAGTGGGCCCAGGGGTGGTGGTGTGGACTGCAGAGGCTGCCACTCCTGAGTGCTGACTTTGGTAGCATCCACATGGTGCTGGCACACACAGCTCAGGAGCCCTAATGATGTGGCCACCATCAAGATGCTACAGGATGAGCCTGCCCTGGGCCTGGGCGGCAGGGCTGTCTGGAGCTTGGGGGGCCCTGTCACCACCCAACTATGTCCCTTAGGTGAGAGTTGAGTCAAAAGTATCTCCAAGGCTTAAGATTTAATTTTATTTTAAAGATTCTATTTATTTATTTGAGAGAGAGAGTTACAGACAGTGAGAGGGAGAGACAGAGAGAAAGGTCTTCCTTCCGTTAGTTCACTCTCCAGGTGGCTGCAATGACCAGAGCTGCACCGATCCAGAGCCAGGAGCAAGGTGTTTCTTCCTGGTCTCCAAGCACTTGAGCCATCTTCCACTGCCCTCCCTGGTCACAGCAGAGAGCTGGATTGGAAGAGGAGCAACTAGGACTAGAACCCGGCACCCATATGGGATACCGGCGCTGCAGGTGGAAGATTAACCTGCGCCATGGCGCTGGTCCCAGATTTAATTTTGTTTGCCCTGTTGGGTTTTGGCCTTCCTAGAGACCTGTCCCCCCCACCCTTGTCACCGTGATTTCTCCCTTTTCACTGTGATTTCTTCCTTTCACGATGGGAATGTCTACCCCATACCTGCTCCTCCATTGTCTGCAAGCAAATAAATTGGACAAGTTCACAGCTGGAGGAAATTGGCCTTAGGCTGATTGTACCTAGAATCTTAACCACATCTGACATCTGACTTAATTGCTATTTAGATGAAATTCTGGACTTTAGACTTTTGAGTTGATGCTGGAATGAGTGGCAAATGGGATGGAGTAAATATATTTGTCCTATGAGGAGGTTAGGGATTGTGGAGGGGAGCAGGGGCAGAATTCCATAGTGGAAGATTTTTTGTTGCCCTGAAATACATATGTGGAAATTCTAACTTTGACAGGATGGCATTAGGAGCTGAGGCTTTGGGAGGTGATTATCTCATGAACCTGGAGCCCTCATGGTTGGGATGAGTGTCCTTAACAAAGAGCCGGGAGAGCCGCCTTGTCCCTTTTACCTGCGAGGACACAGCAAGAAGGTGCCTTCCAGTACCCAGAGAGTGGGCCCTCCAACACACCAAGTCTGCCTGTGCCTTCATCTTGGAGCTCCCAGCTCCACAACCTTGACCTTGGGGAATGACTCTCTGTAGTTTATGAATCAGCGGGATCATGCTTTTGTGCTACAGTGACCTGAATGGATTAAGACAAGCACTCTGGGTGCTGGTGTTATGTAGAAGATTAAGCCTCTGCCTGCAGTGCTGGCATCCCATACGGGCACCAGTTCAAGTCCAAGCTGCTCTACTTCTGATCCAGCTCTCTGCTAATGCACTTGGGAAAGCAGCAGATGATGGCCAAATGAAGGATGGGGATGGCTCATGCAGAAGACCTGGAAGAAGTCCTGGCCTTTGTAGTCGCTTCAAGAGTGAACCAGCGGAGGGAGGACCCCTCTCTCTCTCTCTGTAACTCTGCCTTTCAAATAAATTAAATACACACACACACACACACACACACACACACACACACATAGACAAGCACTACCTGAAGGCATCACCTCGGGCAGTGAGTGAACCTCCTGGACTCTCGGGGTCCCCAGCCATGGTGCTTCCTGTCTAGAGCTGTTGTCAGCAGTGAATGTGTGGGAAGTGTCCTGGGAAGCTTGATAGACCATCCACAATGTTCGTCATATAGATAAGAAAAATAGGCCTGGAGAATTCAAGTCAAGTCAAAGTTTACAGTCTACACAATAATCTTAAACTCCTATCCACTGAAAGATAGTGATGGGCCAACGAATCAGCCAACACTCAGAACGCTAACAGGTGCCCAGCATGGGAGGTCTTGCAAGTAGGAAGATGGATGCAACAGAATCTGGGACATGTTTGAGGAAGATAATGTAAATGGTGTACACATTTAAATCAAATTTTAAGGCAATGAAGCAGTGTAGTTTGATTCATTTGTGGCAGTTTTTGTAGACATTAACTATGTTTAAGTCAGAAGAGAGCGATGGATCGGGGTGAAGTCTTGTATAACAAGGTCATAGTTTCTATAAGTCTTGAGATAACTTACGCCAAATAAAGAAGATCTATTTATATATCTTCAGTGGAAGATCCAGATATGACAATGGTAGAACTGCTTACCGCACTTCTTTCCAACTAATGCATGATACAATAATGCCAGAAGTAAGAAAACACGAAGGGCTATGCTTTGCCGTTTTGGTGTGGTTTGGTGCTGAACTCCTGTGGGCTCCTTTGCAGTGCTCTGCGACCTGTGGCTCTGGAGTCCAGCGAAGGGATGTGTTCTGCAGGCTGCGAGGTGAGGGCCCGGTGCCTGCGGAGAGGTGTGACCCGTCCAGCCGGCCCTATTCTCACAGGCAGTGTTGGCGTCAGGATTGCGCGCAGTACCGGTGGACGGCAGAAGAGTGGCTGCGTGTGAGTACTGACCCTAAGCCTTCAGACACTGCATGTCGGAATGCATTGTTCACTTTGTCCTGCATTTCCAGTGTTCACCATCATGCAAGAAGAAAGAGACCTATCGGGTGGTGAAATGCGCTGATGTGCAGGGCGTCCCAGTGAGCGACAGTCTCTGTGACCCTGCGACGAGACCTCTGTCTGTCCAGAAGTGCAAGAACCCTCTCTGCAAGTATGTCGTGGTAACAGGTGACTCCTCACAGGTAAGGCAAAGAGACGAAGGTGGGGGTGTTCACTCCTATGTGAGACACTTGGTCAGACATTTGAGCCGGTTGACACTGTGCATAAAATCCAAGCCTGGGACAGATGCTGGGTAGGCTTGTCACCGAGGAATGAAGCCGCTGAGAGTTGGATGGTGCTAACAGAGGAACAACCGCAGGTCTTCTAAACTCTAGTGCAAGTCCCAAGGGTCAGTTGGAGCCAACTGTGAAACCAACCACTGGAAAAGTGTGGGAAACAGGCCTTGTGTGGTTGCCCACGATTTAAAAACAGCTTTATTGAGGTACACTTGACATAGAATAAACTGCATATATCTAAAGTGTACTGCTTAGTACGTTGTGCATGTATTTGTCTGAAAAACCATTGTCCTATCCCAAATGAAGAGCATCTCCATTCTCCCTGCAAATGTCCTTGTGCTATTTTGTAACCATAACCCTTCCTGCCCACACCACAGTTAACCTCATCTGCTTTCTGTGTTAGTGGTCTGTCCCTGTGTCCTTTTACATTTTATGTAATTGCAATCAATGCACTGCACTTGTTTTGACTATATACCAGGCATTTGGAGATTCAGTCAGGTTGCAGTCTGTGTCAACAGTTTGTTCCTTCTTTCTTGTTGGATAATATTCCACTAAGTGGATGCCTTTGGGTCCACTCCTGTTTCCTTTTCCTGTGTGGGGTCTGCCTTTAATCTTCCTCCACTCTGCTTTTCATCTCGTTCATTATCATTTTCATCTTTAGAGGTTTGACTACAGCTTTTATTCATTAATTTATTTTTACTTTTGCTTGAAAAGCAGAGATACAGGTAGACAGAGATACATGGAAAGAGATCTTCCATCTTATGCTTCACTCCCCAAATGCCTATAACAGGTAGGGTTGTGCCAGGCTGCAGCCGGGTGCCTGGCACCCAAACTAGGGTTCCCACATGGGCGTCAGGGACCCAAGCACTTGATCCATCACCTGCTGCCATCCCAGGCAGCGTCTCAACTTTTGGCTTTTTGAGATATGTATTCCCTTACTCTACTTAACTTTGTAAACCCATAAAATGTAGTTATTAATAACATTTTAGTATCCTGATCAACTGACATCTGAATGTGTTTACACTTTGGAGAATTTCAGTGTATTCCCAAGTTCGTGCAGCCCTCACCGTGACCCAGTTCCAGAACACAGCATCACTCCTCGTCTCTCCCCACCCTTCTCCCCTGCGTCACTCACAGCTGCCACTCTGCTTTCTCTGTGAACTTGCCTACTCTGGACATGTCCTGTAAATGGACTAGTAAAACACGCGGTCTTTGGTGTCCGCCTCTTCCGCTGAGCTCGATGTTATAGCGCACACCAGCACTTCTTCCTCTGCACGACTCAATCACATCCCGTTGTGCACTTGGATAACTAATTAATCAGCTGATGATCTTTCAGAACGATTCACTTTTTACTGTGGTGGGGGACACTGCCAAGGAAAGTTGTACACAAGTTTTTGTGAGGAGGTGTTGTCCGCTCTTTCAGACGTGGCACCTAACAGTGGAGTTGCTGATATTACATTAACTCCACATTTGATTGCTGAGTAACTGCCCAAGTGTTATCCGTAGTTGCTGTACCATTCCATTTTCGCTCTTGTCAGTGGTGATAAAGGTTCCGATTTCTCCACGTCAACAGAAGCATTTTTTATAGTCTATCCTTGTTAATGCAGTCATCCTAATGTGTGTGAAATGGTATCTCCCTTGGTGTTGGAATTCGATTTCTCTGATAACTAATGAAGGTAAGCATTATTTTATGTACATTTTGGCTGTTGGTAAATCTTTGGATAATATATATCCAACCAATTTTCAAAACTGAGTGACTTTTTTATTACTAGGTCATAAAGATTTTTTTCCCAACTTTTGGCTACCAACTTTTATCAGTTACTTGTTTTGCAAGTATTTTCTCCCATTCTGCTGGTTACCTTTTCACTTTCCGGGTAGTACCCTTTGAAACACAAATGCTTTTAGTTTGACACAACCAAATCTATCTTGTTGTTCATTGTAAAGTATCACATCTAAGAAACTGTTGCCTGTTCTGTGAGAATAAAAATTTACATCCCTGATTTCTTCTATGACTGTCTTTTTAGCCAACACATTTAAGCTTTTGATATATTTTAACATTTTACATAGAATGCTGTACATCTAATTTTATCCTTTTGTATGTGTCTGTGCAGTTGTAGAGAAAATGATTTTTCCCACATTGCGTCCCTTCAGCAGCTCGTCAAGAATCAGTGGCCATAAATGCTTTAGTGGATCTGTGTACTTGCCCTTGAGTCATTCTCACGTAGTTCTGGCTATGTGGTTTTGGAAGAAGTTTGATTTGAGAAGCATGAGTAAACCGACTTTATTCTTCCTTCTCCAGGTTATCTAGCTGTTCTCATTGCCTGCATTTCTATGTAAATTTTAGGACTGATTGTTCAGATTCTGTGTAAGAGCTAGCTGTGATTGTGTTAAAGATTGCAGAGAATCTTGATTAATTCAGGGAATATTCCTGTTCTAAAATTCTCTCCCAATTCATGAACAGGGACTATCTTTATATTTAGTTAGGTCTTATTTAATTTATTTCAAGACTGCTTCATAGTTTTTAGTATAATATCTTATACTTTTGTTAGATTTCTTCCTAAATATTTTATTATTTTTATGTTCTGTAGGTGGATTTATCTTTTTAATTTCATTATCTGATTGTCCATTGCTCTTTTATAGATTTTTGAATATTCATCATGTTTATTGTATCTAATTATGTGTGTGTATAGTGGGGTTTTCTACATACAACACTATGTGATTTGCAAATAGAAATAATTTTACTTTTTCCTTTAAATATGGATGATTTTCTTTATTTTTCTTGCCTAATTTCCCTGATGGAAAGTCCAAGACAACATTGAATAGAAGTGGTGAGAAGAGGCATCCTAGCTTTGTCCCTACACCCTGTAGGAGTTTTCACAATTAAGTATGTAGACTACAGATATTTTGCAGATTCTCTTTATCAGGTTGAAGAAGTGTCCCTCTGATCATGTTTCAGTGTTTATAACATGAAAATGTATTGGAATTTGTGACAGGCTTTTTCTGCAGCTATTGAGATGATTGTGTGTTTTTTGTCTATTATCCTATTAGTATAATGTATTACATTGACTTATTTCCATATATTGAAACATTCTACATTCATAGAATAAATCTCACTTAGTAATGATATGTAGTCTTTTTAAAATTTTAATTTGTATTTATTTTTAAAAGATTTATTTATGTATTTGAAAGTTAGTTACACACAGAGAGAAGGAGAGGCAGAGAGAAAGAGAGGTCCTCCATCCACTGGTTCATTCCCCAAAAGGCTACCATAGCCAGAGATGAGCCGATCCAAAGCCAGGATGCAGGAGCTTCTTTGGGGTCTCCCACACGGTGCAGGGTCCCAAGGATTTGGATCATCTTCTGCTGCTTTCCCAGGCCATAGTAGAGAGCTGAATTGGAAGTGGAGCAGCTGGGACTTGAACCGGTGCCCATATGAGATGCCAGCACTATAGGTGATGGCTTTATCTGCTATGCCACAGTGCCAGCTCCACTCTGCGTCTTCATGGGCGTCACCTGTCTGGGAATTTTTTTTATATCTTTTCCTCTCAAAGAAACCCTTTATTTAATGAGTACAAACTTCATAAGTACAACTTTACGAATATAGTGATTCTTCCCACCATACCTGCCCTCCTACCCCCACTCTTACTTCATCTCCTCCTCCCTCTCCCATTCTCCATTAAGATTCATTTTCAATTAACTTTATACACAGAAGACCAACTAAACAAGATTTCAACAATTTGAACACACACACACAAATTGTTTGAGAACAAGTTTTACAGTTAATTCCCATAATACAACTCATTGAGGACAGAAGTCCTGCATGGGAAGTAAGTGCACAGTGACTCCTGTTGTTAATTTAGCACTTAACACTCTTATGTATGATGTCAGTGACCACCCGAGGCTCTTGTCATGAGCTTCCAAGGCTGTGGAAGCTTTTTGAGTCCACAATCTCTGTCAGTATTTAGGCAGGGCCATAAGCAAAGTGGAAGTTCTCTCCTCCCTTCAAAGAAAAAAACATCCTTCTCTGATGGCCACTTCTTTCCACTGGGGTCTCTCTGACAGAAATCCTTCATGTAGTACATTTTTTTTGTCACAGTGTCTTGGCTTTCCATTCCTGAAATGCTCTCATGACTTAACAGCTGATTCTGAGGTCAGAGTGCTATTTAAAGTGATTGTCATTCTATGAATTGGCTATGTGGACTACTTCACGTGTTGGAATATTCTCTCCTTTCTAATTCTATTATTATTATGAAACACTTGATCTTATTTATAGGATCCCTTTAACACTTAATCCTATCTATATGATCACTTTAACATTTAACATGGTCCCTTTAATACTTAAGATGGAATTTTTATCACCCAGCTTAATGGGATTGGGGATCCCATAGCAAGTTTTTAAACTGTACTCTTAGAAGTCCATCGGAATGTATAAAGAACTTTACAGCTCTACAGTTACAAATTTCCTCCTCCCTCTTTTATTCCCGCTCTTATTTTTTACTGAGATCTATTTCATGCTATTTTATACACGATTAACAAATATTTCATCTTTATACACAATTAACTATGAAAAGTAAAGACTTCAACAAATAGTATTAAGAGGAAAAAAAAACTGTTCAACAGTCAAGACAAGGGCTATTCAAGACTTTGCTGCTCAAAGTGGCAATTTCACAGAACAGGGAGAAAATATGGTATTTGTGCCTTTGGGACTGGCTTATTTCACTAAGTATGATGTTTCCCGATTCACCCATTTTGTTGCAAATGACTGGATTTCCTTTTTATTTTTAATGCTGTGTAGTATTCCACAGAGTACATATCCCCTAATATCTTTATCCAGTCTTCAGTTGACGGGCATTTAATTTGATTCCATGTCTTAGTTATTGTGAATTAAGCTGCAATAAACATGGGTG